AGGTTGAAAAGAATCCAACCGGGGCGGTCGCAATTCTACTTGTTGAGTATTATGGATGGAAGTCTCTTGACTGGCGTTGGAAATGCTGTTGGTGTCCATTCTTCTGTTATTGCTTGGAGCTCTTCCTCTAAGACTTGTTCTTCTTCCTCTTTGCCCGTTTTGTTGGGAACTTCCTGGGATGTTTTGAATTGGGGTTATGGGGCAATCGGGTTGAACCACTGTTACATTAACACCATCCATCCTTTCGAACCACCTCCTTGAAAACGTGATATCGTCACCATGCTTGCTGGAAACAAAGTATCTCCTTTTGTCTTGATCCAGATAAAACTTAACTGGTTCCAAAGACTTCTCACTTGGGTTGTATCTTTCTTTAAACTCTGTCAGTTTCTGGATCTCGTTCTGTATCAGGATTACACTCTGTCTCATTTCTTCGGAACAACAAATGTTTTCTATTGCTTCGACACCTTTTGTGGTCGTCGCAACCAGAGTCGACAAAAGGTTGGGAACTTCAACAACCTTTTCATCGACAGTCCCAATGAGAACGGATTCATTCGGAATTTCCGACATTTCCAGAATGTCCGTTCTTGTCGCGATGGAAGTATATTCTTTTACAAACCGCGCAGCTCGATTCGGGTCAATTCTTATTCTTTTGATATTATCTACCTCTCTGACGACAATCCCACTTCTCTCAAATGAAGCCACCACTGTTCCAATGGTTGAGCGATCACTCAGAGTCTTGAGAAGTGAGGAGATTTTGAGGATTAGGGAAGCAGGACATCAGATTCAGTGATGAAAAACTTGGCAACATGAAAAGGATGTTTAAAGTTATGAACGATTTAAAACCTAAAAGAAAATTGTTTAAATGAAAATAATGGATTGTTTTGTGCAAAAATTGGGGTTTTGGGGGATTTGAATATCTTCCACTTTAACTTTTTGGTAAAGACTTTGAAATTGATTCAATACGAGAAGACATTTTCTAAAAAAATCAAGAAAATATAACCAAGTAAAAAAGAAAATGTTTTATAAAACGATGACTCTTTTTGGTGAAATGAGGACAAATTTTGGAAATTTTTGAAGTTTTTTTCGGCTTTTTTTCGTTTTTGAAATTCGAAGAAAACATCTCATTTGTTCATTGCTTTTTGTTATTGATTTTGTTGAACTTGAATAATCTAAAAAAGACAAATTAATGGTTAAAATACCATAAATTGAATTTAAAAAATGGCTGACAGGTTAGTTCCGGTTGACAGGTTATTACTCCAACTGTAAAGATTGTGATTATTTGAACAAAAATTATTTTTTTACTTGCTATATATTAATTCAGTTACTATTTAATAAGTATTCTATTATTAATAAAACAATTTATTATATATTATTGTTTATAGAATATAATAAAAATATTATAGTATTATATTAAATAACTACTCGAATCTAATTACTTCATGAAAAGGAACCACACAGAACAAAACAACAAAAAGCCTTTTGCTCCATCTTTCCACAAATCCCACCCTTTCTGTCTCGAGGAGATATACGGAGATGAAGAAAATTCGGATAGTGAAGAATCCGTAGCTCCAAAAACTCTGGTCGACCGCAAACGCATTCTAACCCTTGACAAGAAAAAAGAGGTCCTTCGAATAAAACGCAAACAGTTGAGAGAACAAAAAGAAAAGAGTGAGGAGGAGATACCCTTCAGACTTCCAGAAGATCGTCCGGAGCTTGAAGAGAAGGTGGGGATTACACGGAGTGTCGAAAGAAAAGGCGACACCAACACAATTAAAGAGACACACGTCATTGATGAAAATGGAACTGATGTTGTGTCTTTGAAGAACACTTTAATAGCACTGCAAGAACTTTTCCCCAGTGAGGACAGTGCTTCCGAAGAGGTCTATGTCGGCAAACCAATGAAAAAGTCCACCTTTAATGTATAGTTTATTATAATTTGTTTTACTATAATTGATACTCAACAAACACCAACAACGAATTACACAATGTAACAATCTTTTTCTCGTGGGGACTTCTTACCATCTTTCTTAGTCTTTTTTGGTTTAATTTTATGTGTTGTTTTGTATTTGTCGACTCTCACTTTGATGTTTCTATTTTGTTATTCCACATTGAATACCACAGACACCAACAAACCTGATTTCCGAAGTCAGAAAGTTGTGGATTGCAATTTCAAACAACTCACGAATGCCATCGCCAGTTTTGGAAGAGACCTCCGCATAGAATCCACCTTGACTTACTACCACATTTTTACCTTCACTCATCGTCACCGCACGTTTACCAACATCAGTAAAACTCGCAACCAAATAGATGATGGCAGAGTCATTCATTCGACTGAAATATTGATATACATTCATGGTGTTTTCATATGACTCTCTGTCGGTCGCGTTGTATAAATACATCAAAACATCACCACGGGCGGCGGGGTCGGTACTCATACTTTTCATAAACGTGTCATTCCCACGTTCGGAGATGGCCGCGGTGATCGGAAAGCCTTCGACAGTCACATCTATTTTTTTCTTGGAGTCACTTCTTTCCTTCCTACACGAAGATATATACCCTTTCCTCTTGCGTTATAAATGCACTAATCGGTTCAAAGAAGACAAACTGCGTCTTGATAACTCTCACCCTTCTCCTCACTAAACTCGTCGTCGAGAAGTCGGCGAATCATCGCTGTTTTCCCAGAATCCGGCGCGCCACATATTGTGATGTTAATAGGTAGTTTATCGTTCATGAAATTGATTGGATTAATCAGTTCATAACTAAGTCATAGAAACCCTCACTATCCCAAAACATCGAGTAGCAAAAGTGATTTGATGAGTCTTTTCTTTAATAATATCTTAGGTATTCAACTTGTATTTGACTGGATTTTATCCTTTATTATCTAACTTTAACTTTCGATCTTTTTTATTGTATGAATTTGCATTTTGGAAAAAAATGGAGTACTTTTAAACCAATCGATTTTGGTGTAAAATCTCGATGACGTTTATTATTGAATGTATTATAATAAATTAATAATTGAATGTTGAGATTATCTCTCAATATAAATTAATTATTTTTAAATAAATAGCAATTCATTCTGTTTTTAAAAAATCTTTTTTTCGAGTTATTTCATCTGGAGCACTATTATTATCTCTAGTACCGATATAATTCTACATAACTGTACCATAATTAATATTTCATTACTTTATAGCTATTTTATATAAGATATGTTTAGTTTGATTAAATATTGAATTACCATAATTGTTGTTCTGCTCTGATTTTTTTGGATTATTTTTTATAATCAAAATGATTTTTAAAAACATCAAAAAACAATTTTTTCAACTTAACAAAACAAATGTTAAATGAGTTTTTTTAACTCATTTAACAAATACAAATACATTTTGTTCCACGTAGATTGTATTTGTGGTTTTTTAACCCGTTTTTATACATTTCATTATGCTAAGTTTTGAGATTTTTTTTCAATTATTATTTTTCTGTTATTTAAAACAATTGTTTCAAAAATAGTTTTACTTTTTTTAATTACAATTAGACTTTTAATTGAATGTTTTATTATCATTTATAATTGTAAATATAATTTGATAAACAATTTTTCCAATTTATTGAATAAATTGTTTTCATTAATTTAACTGACCAGTTTGTAAACTTTTGTGTTTTCGGTTTATATAACATTAAATATTACAAAATTTTAAATTGTTATTTAGACAAGCCTCAATCAATTATTAAAAACAATCAATAAGATTTAATTAAGTAATTTATAAATCATTGATATTTATTAGTAAATTTGAACTTAAAAAACAGAGCATATCGTGATGGAAGTAGAAGAGAGTTTATATGTCCAGCTTCAAAAGATCAAAAATGGGGAAGTTCCAATTCCACAAGTCAACTTTAATGGTAACAACGATCAAATTGTACGACGGTGGAAAATGTCGAAAGTGACTCGGTTGGAACATTTAGAAAAAATCCAATTAGACCAAGCAACATCCGTTGCACAGAGTATGGAAGTGTTACCGGAGTGTTATTACAACAATGTGAAAGTTGACCCGAACATGTATCGGTTCCAACAAAACACAAAACAGAGAAAAGGTGAAGATGAGAGAGAGGGGAAGCACACACGTGCGGTCAAGAAAGGGAAATTCGTGTTAAAGTAATCATCGATGTTTTACCATACAATTATAGTATGTATTCTATTAATTTACCATTTCCTTTATTCCTTAATAATACAACAAATGAGTTATAACTCCGTTGGTTTCAACTGGTCTTGCTCAAAGAATTTACAAACTTCTTTCAGTGAACATCCATAGTATTGTTCAATAATCACACCACTTTTCATCTTCAGACAAACTGGTACTTTCCATATTTTGTTCATTCGACAAAACTCTCTTTCTTCATCAAAATCTAAGTATCTAACACGTGGATTCTTGATGAGTTCTTTTTTAATGACATTACACGGTCCACACCAATCGGCTTCTACAAATATAAATTCCATTTTCTTTGTATTATGAGTGAATCACTTTGTTACCAATTGGAATGATTCTTTCTCTTTTATTTAAAACTTTCCAATCTATACATTTTAAGAAATGTTATTATAAAGATTTTATATATTATTTTATTATATTATTATATAAATATTTATTATTTATAATAATATGGATGTGCAAACTAACAACAATAAAAACTTAATGACTTTGAACACAAAATGTTAATTCTGCATGATAGACTCATTCCACAACTGGGGTCTGCTTTTGAAATCTTTTCTCATCTGAGCTAGGGTATTCACAATGTCTAGTGCTTTTGGGCGATTGTCCTGTTCTCGCAAAACACATTGTCGGATGAGAGTTGCCATTTTTTGAGGAGTAGAAGGTGGGATGGTAGGTCTCAAGTCAGATGTTGCAGACTGAATGATGATTTGAACATCCATTGTGAGTTCAGGAAACTCTTGGAAAGGTCGTTGGTACTTTTGGTATATCAATCTATACACCAACTCCCACAGGATGATACCATATGAATACACATCAGACTGTGTTGTATATCTTTGGTTATAATACACTTCTGGTGCGCAATATGCATAAGTTCCTCTATCTTTAGTGCTTGTTATAAACTCGGAATCAAATCGCGAGAGCCCAAAATCGCATATCTTCAACACCTCACACTCTTTTCCCGTTTCCTTATCCTTTTCAATAGACACTAAGACGTTCAATGTCTTCAAGTCTCTATGAAGTACTGGTGGGTTCTGTGAATGCAAATATTCCATTCCCAGTGCAAGCTGTTCGGAGAAGTCCAACACCTTTTCCCATGTCATTGCAGTTTCCGGCTTCACCAACAAGTCGTACAAACTCCCTTGTGAGCAGTACTCCATTACCATCGCAAATTGTTTGTCAACGATGATCCCATAAAACTTGACGACATTTTTATGTTGTAATCGATTCAAGACCTCACTCTCTTGTTGGAACTCTTTCACCTCCTTCATGTTCGTCGCTTTCAACGTTTTCACCGCAACAATATACCCTTTGTACGCAGCAGTGTATACTACACCAGACGCACCAGACCCAATATTCTGTAAGAACTCTATTTCACTCTGATCGATGATCGTCTTCCCATTTTCAATGAGGGCCAACAACTTCCCGCGCTCCGTCTCTTCGTTCTCACTTTTGTCTTCCTTCGCCTCGACGTTAGGGAGTGTTTTAAATTTGGCGGCAAGCACTTTCCCCTCCGCAGAGGTGATGCCTATCTTCTCCAATGACCGTGCACTCATCCCTCGGAGTTTGTGTTTGAACATCTTGTTTTTGACCAACAGTGCAACGGCTTCGTCTGATGCACTAATCGAGTGTAAATACTCGACTAAATCGTTAAAGTCTCTCACCGTCTGCGCATACCGTTCACTCTTCTCCATTGCAATTGCATAAGGAGTGAGTCCTTTACTATCTTTAATGTGCAAATTGGCTTTATGTTCCAACAACACTGAAAGTAAATCAGTTCGTTCGTTATACACCGCGTAATGTAACGCAGTCGACTGTCGCAGTGTCGTCGCATTGACATTTGCTCCCTTCTCCAACAGTCGTGTGACCAACAACATTCGAATCGATTTATTGCGAACAGCTGAGTATAACACCGTCTCCATGTTCTTATTTGTAGCTTCAATATCAGCACCCAATCTGAAAAACAAGTCCATAGCAGCACTGTAATTCGGATTCGAAAAATTCAGACAGAAGAAGTGGAAAGGCGTATTCCCGTCGTAGTTCTTCTTGTTGACGTCGATCGTTGGCGCATTTTTCAGCAGTGATACCAAAATGTGCTCATTGTATGAAACTAAAGTCGCTACATGTAAAGCGGTGTTCCCTTGCTCGTCTTGCGCATTGACATCAACCTTCCCACTTTCCAACAGTGTCAACACTTTACGTAAGTCGGTGTCAAGTACTGCGGCGTGCAACGGAAATTTTGTCATCTTTTCTTGTTTAGGGTTGACTTCCGGGAATAAATAGAGTGTGACAGTGACGGTTGGTCTTGGCTTCGATTGAATGATTTTGTCTGCGTGCATAATCGGCGGTTCGACTTTTTCGCCGACCAATGTGTCGCGTGGGGTGATTTCCATCATTTCAGACAGATGTGTTGACGAGCTTTTCGACGGGACTTTGTTCATGAGAGTGCTTTTGATCCGAGCTTCCACATCAAAAGATTCGTTCAGTGGTATTTCTGATGATCCGCTGAGAACATTCCCAGATATATTCGGTGTTGCTGGGGCTGTTTGTGCTCTGATGATGGGTTGTATCAAATCACACATTTTTTCAAGTTGAAATGTTTTTGTATGGACGGTATTAAATGGTAACAACTGATTGATTTGCATTCGGGTCGTCCAGATGTCCGGCGTCTTTTTCTTTTCATGGTCGTGAAACTCAATGACTATTTCTTTGATTGAAGTCGACACATTTCGAAACTCCACCGTGTTAATTGGTTGTCGAAAGTAGATGCTCGTCGTCTTCCGACTCACATGCACTTTATTCGTCTTGTCCCCTACTGATATCGAAAACTTCGTGTTACTTTGTACTCTCATCAATTACACATGACCAACAACAAGAACAAACATAAGACTCTCCTGTCGTCATCGGTACAGGAAACAAATCTTCGGCGTAGTTGACTTGTTGTTATTCGATTGGTCTTCATTTGTATTAGCATCAGAACTAAAAATTGTTATTCAAAATGTTATTTAACACCCAAACCCCAAACTACATTTGAAAGTTGAAGAAACAAAACAAACACTCCGCTCGTATGATTCTGTTCAACTGTTTCTTTTCAGAAAAACTCAAGCGAGCCTCTTTTCGAGTCTCACCCACCTTTTCACTCATTCCGTTTTCTTTTTCAGTTTGAAACTTTTTTCAGTTTCATTGGGGATAGCAAAACGCATAACACAAAAAGAAAAGAAGCCCAAACAATCGGGAATTATTAAACAAAACTTCACTTACAATATTTGACCTGACTATTAGCATTCGATACAGGTGGGGACGAAACAATTTTACTCTCTACACCGCCAACCATCTCGTCCATATATCGATCCATCTCCTCTTTTTGAGAACCCAAAATGTTTTGGACGGCAACCTCGACTTGTGTGACGAAAAAATCGCCTTCTGTCGATATACCTTTGTCGAAGTCCCGAATAAAACACAGGTTTGAGTATAGAAGTGGCGACTGTGCATTACAGAGTATATAAGAAACCACCGCGATGATATCGTCGCACGTCATTTGTGTTGTTGTGTTGTCAAAGTATAACACGGGCTTCAACGCGTTCACAATTGATTCGACCTTCTCCGTTGGGGTTTTGTAGTTATTGATCGATCGCAACTGTTCGAAAGAAGGTTCAAGACGTGGGAGGTGGATGTTCCTTGTCGGTCTGAATGCTTCTATCGGAAAATCGGAGAGCTCTTTACACTTCAGAGCGAATTGTTCGTCAATTTTGAGTGAATCGTTTTCGAGGAAGACGTCTTCATAAAAGTTGGAGAAGACAAGGTTCTCCACACACATGAAGTGAACCTCCCGAGTAAAAGGGGAATCGTATTGTGAGAAGTTGAATAAGAGCGTGAGCATACATGAGTCTACCATCTTGACTTGTTCCTCATGCGTTGTGTTGTTCTTGTGATTTTCAAACCAATCTCGGAACTGTTTGATGGGTTCGACGTCTGTCTGGTGCTCATTTATAAACTGTGAGAATTTCACAAGTATGTCGTCTGTCAACTGCGAAGACATCGACTGTTTTGTGAGTTATTTTTTTCTTTTTATTTTTTCACTCCTCATTCGAGCAAGTTCAGCCCATCTCACAATCTCATTTTTTTGAGAGAATGATTTTAGGTTTTAAGTTGCCACGTAAACCCTTTAAATTCGCAGGTAGTTTCTTTTTGTTCGAAAAGAATAAAACTGCCTGAAAGTAATTAAATTGAAAACTATTCAATTAGATCAAATACCATTAATTAAAAGAATTATTTCTGAATCAAAGTAATTCTTTTGTTTTTTTAATTGTAATTATATTTTTTATAAAAATGCCAAACCGTTTTTATCCGGGTTTGGCATTTTTATAGTTATGGTTTTAACATTACAAAAATCCTTTTTTTGGTCATTTAAGTTTGGAAATAATAAAATTGTAAAAAAAGGACAAACTTTTTTGTTGTTTTATTTGACATTTTTTCTGACATATTTATAATTCATCAAAAAACAAATGTGAGTTTCTATTTTAAGTTGTATCGATGGTTATGTGTGTCAAAAGTTTTAAATCTTTTTATTAATAAATAAATTATTAATAAATAAATTATTATGTATTATATTAGTATCGTTTTTGAATTCCAAAAAGTTTGTTTTATTCAAAAGAATATTCGGACCAAGTTTTCCTGATCTTTTAAACTATTTTAAGCCATTTTTTATCCTCAGCCCAAAACTTAATTATTTGATTGTTTTTTTAATTTATGACATGATATTATTAAATTATAATTTTTTAATTATGACATTGTAATTAAATTTCTTTATTTAACAACATTTTACATAATTAATGAACTATACAAGTTAATTAGAAACAATTAAATATTTTACTTTTTAATAATCGAGATTAATTATTTAAAATGTATTATATTATAATAACAATTAAATTATAAAAGTTTAATACATAAAAATAAGAACTCGCCCACACCTAAACAACGATTTACTAGAATTTAAACTTCTGTGAGTTTTTTTTAAATTTATTTGCTTTTACAAGGATTTCATCTGCCGTTGGGCACACGTTCATGAGTTGGTGTAGTACTTCATTCGGTTCCTTTTTCATCCAAACGTCTCTTTTATAGACAGCCATAGCTGTTGCCACGCATTTGATAGTCAAGCAGATATCACTTTTCTTACAGAAGTCGCATAACAATACGTCCCATATTCTTAAAGAATCTTCAAAGGAAAAATTGTCAATAAAAAAGATCGAAATCCATCGAAATGCATAACACTCGGACTCTATTTGATTCTTCTTTAAAAACATAAAAAAGTCTTTATCGATCATTTGTAACACAATATCTATTCCTCTGAAACAATCCCTTATCCCGAATACTTGGTCATCACAATCCTTATCAAACCAATCTCTAAACATTAACACAAACGTCGTGAACCCAAAATAGGTCATCGCTTCACTTTCAGTTTTATCACTTTGACCATTCGAAAATACATAATACATCATCGCACAAATTTCATGCCACCCCTGGACGTATTGTAATGTTTTGTTGAAGACACAATTCACAAATAAAATACGTTGGATGGCTTCTATGACATCTTCCTTCGAATTAATATTATATTAATATTATATTAATATTATATTAATTTTATTATAAATTATACTATTTAAAAACTATCAAGTCAACATTTGAATAACAAACATCTTTAAAAAATTGCACCTCAGGAAATATTCGTGGCGTGTCTTTTTGTAAAATCGACAAGATTTCCGTCTTTGGAAATTTCACGTTGTAATAAAAGTCGTTCACAAAATTTTGATATTGTTGTGTATACGTCTCAACTCGCTCTTTCCATACAGTTGTGTCGCATGGCAAAAACTCTAAGAACACCCCCCACACCCGTCGTCGTATGTCACCCTCATGTGGTGTCCCTTTCACTATCCCTTTCTTCCTTATAAGTACCCGCGCCAAGTCAATGTCTAACTCATCGCACTCTATCAGCCGTTGGTATTTCTTTTTGTCGCTCTGCATCAATCCTCTTCACAGCACTTGACTACTTTTGTTAAATACTTTTTAGTTCTTCCCTCTTCCCAACTTTTTACTATCTATTTATTACACTTTTACTATATTTGTCGTATCAACAGTTTATTAAAAAGTATTGATTAATTTAACTATATTTATAACATGTGTCATAACCAGAAGTAATATATAACCACTAAAACACATAAGGAAATGTCCCTTCAAACTGCCTCTTTTTACACTCGTACTGAATCTGGACCATCCATCTACCTTTCTTTCGAAGCATTTTAAATCGACCCGTTATGACATCATCGATCTTCCCGTTCATGGGTGACGGGCATAAATAGCAGCATTGTTTCCACGTAGTCTTCTTCCCCGGTGCGGATGAGATCTTCTTGTTCTTCACATCGCAGTCGAAGTAAGTACAAAACCCGACGAGTGGCATTTGTCTCTTTAGTGTGATAGAGAATTTGACTGTGCGTGGAGTCAAATTCTCCTCTTCGAAGTCATTTAAATCGACGCCATAAAGAAGATGCTTTGATGTGATCACTTTGGACTCATCGATGTTATCGATGTAAGCGGTGCAAACAACTCCTTTCAACATTATCGACATGTCGAAGCCATACACATCCTTCCAGAACTCATATTGTTCGTCGACATAATTGATCTCAGTCACTCCACAGATGTAACACTTCCCACCAGAAGGTAGAATCTCTCCACACTTCTTCAGCTTTGTTTTGGCTATCAACATCTCACTGAGCAAAGAGTCGTAGTACAAATTGATACCCATCCAATCGCAGATGATAATGTCGTACTTCTCTTTGACTTCACTGATGGATGTCTGTTCAACGACAATATCGACTTTTAACTCGTCAACGACATGCCGAAAAAACTGAGCAATCGTACGCGTGTCTATCGCTTTGACATAACGCGCTTTATACTTTTTAGCAAGTAAAGCAAGTTTCCCAAAACCACACTGAACTACTAACACGCGTT